ATCAACCTAACCAACGTCAACCATAGCTAATCTCTTCTCGCCTCCTTGCAGCCCCCCCCGGTTCACCACTGGAATGCCTTCCACCCTCAGCAAACCCTTGATCTCTCTACAAGGCCTCACACTCCTGCCATTTACAGGTTACAGGGCAACGCCCTAGCTCCTCCCAGCGTCGTTCTGGCGTCGGCAAACCAAGGGCACAGAACATAGCAACTCAGTTGAAATCAGTCCAGGTTCAACCATCTCTGAAGTCATATATCCCGAATATGGAAGAATGCTAGACGCTGCCAAAATTTCAGAACACCAAAAAGCTTAATATGACAATAATGCAAGGAACATGAATATGGACGAAGCACAGAAATCCAGAATGCAAAATCACACTGAAGTCCAAGTAGTCAAAGCCAACACAGATAGCACAACGGAACCGAGTCTACCATCCAATTGAGAATGATACAGAAGAATCGTGAGTCAATGTCCATGCCCAACAAGGCAACACCAACAGCATAACCCAAATGTAGCTCTCTCTTGTGAATGGCGCCAGGCGCTTTATCTACTCTACAGCCTTTCCTACAACTACAGCAATGAAAGCAACCAGACAACTTGACTACCAGCGAGTGATGATGTCAACACCAATGCCAACCTCCACCTCCACCAGGTACGTGTCCTCTTCCCCACACTCTCCCTTGTTACCCACACAACGCCCTTCACCTCCGAAGAACCACCTTCGCCCTTCACCCCTCTGCGCCCTCTGCAGCCCGGCTATGGCCGCCAAACGCCCTGTATGCAGGCAACGCCCTACCGCCTAGCGCTAGCCTGCGTCCCTCAGCCTTAGCGCAGCGCAGCATGCATGCAACGCAGCAGCGTGCCGGCCTTGCTCGCAATGGCCAAGATGCCTGTCCACTCGCTCTGCTTGCCTATATGCCAGTGCAGCATGTGGGCGGCCTCCCTTCAGCCTATCACCGGGACCCAGAGGCTGAAGCCAACTCGATACAGTTGGGCCCCGGGGCAATGCAGTTGCGCCTCTTTCATCAAGGCCTGCGACCAGATTCAGATAGTGGGCCGATTTCCCTTTGGCATTTTCGGCCTCTATACCCAACATGCATTGTTGGCCTCACGTTTGAGTGCCCAGGGCCTAACTAACTCAGAGGCCCTGGGTTTTCAGCATTTGCTGAAATCCGAGACTCGGTGCACTCCAACCAACTGGCGTGCTGCAACTGTATGGACCCGGGCTCTTGTTGATTTGCTGGCCCGCCTTCACTTAGGGCGGGCACGAGGCTTGCTGGGGCCTTAGCCCAGAACATGTACATCATGGCAAGGCCCCTTCTTGAGGGCTCATTCCTCACATTCCATCCCCCTTAGCTTCGAAAGTCCGCTGAGGTGCTTACTTCACAGGTGCCTTCCCTTTCAGCTTCCTTTCACACCACCTGAGGAGCTGTCTCAATCAGTTCCTCCCTGGTAAACCACCGATCTTCGTTGGGATCCGTGTGATGTCTGAATCTGACACGATATTCTCTCTTGGGTTTATGAGGTCTTCCTCGACCCAATGACTTTGCAACGGGCATGTCCCGGTGATCCACAATGTCATCGATGCCGACTTGTCCATCCATGGTTGGGGGCAGTATCGATCTGCTGGAAGGGAATTGATCAGTCTCAGCGAAAGGTGCAAGCTTTGAGGCATGAAAGACTGGGTGAGTGCGTAGGTGTCCAGGGACACGAATGACATAAGTGGGACCATCCATCTCATCTCTCACTATATCTAGGACTTCCCAGGGACCAAAGTATTGAGGCATTAGTTTGCGAGAGATTCCGAATTCCTGTCCTAGCTCGCTAGCCTTGACCCAGACACGTTCCCCTACCTGAAATGTGGATTGTCTACGATATTCATTCTCAGAAGCAATCATTGCTTGCTGAGCTTTCTTCATGTGCTCGACAGCTTCTTGCAGCAACTTCTCATACCGCACACCATACTTCAGTGTGCCTGGGGTTGCAGCAGGTCGGTTTTCAGGTAGGAGGAAGTCTAACGCGGATCTAGGCTTCCATCCCAAGTGTAGCTGATTATGACTCACGCCGGTGCTGCTGTGCACAGCATTGGCGATGAGTGGCAACTTCTCATCCCAATCATCTTGGTTGGGTTTGATGTAATGCCTCAGCAAGTTTTGTACAACTCTATTCATCTGTTCGGCTTGTCCGTTAGCTTCGGGATGATTCCCCGAAGTCATCTGAAGTTGACTGCCCATTTGTTCTGTAGTCTTCTTCCATAGCTCACTTGTGAATCGGACGTCTCTATCACTAACGATAGTCTTTGGTAACCCAAAGTCCCGCACCCAGTTGTCCTTAAACAACTTGATGACATGGTCAATCCTCGCAYTTTCTGGCATGGCAACTAGTCTAGCGTACTTGGTGAATCGGTCTATGATGACGAAGATGTGTCTCTTACCACTCTTGCTAGTTACCAGGGTGTCCATGAAATCCATGGAAACACTCTGTCCTGGACCAGCGGGAATAGGTAAGGGCTTAAGCAACCCAAGCGGTGCTTGAGTTCGCGGCTTGTCCCGTTGACAGACCTGATAGGTCTCTACGTACTTCTTTGCGTCATCGAACATACCAGGCCACCAAAATCGTTGTACTAGATTAACACTCGTTTTCTTGTAGCCCAAGTGTCCCGTTGCGTCATGGCATTCTCCTAAAAACAAACTACGCAAAGGTTCACTAGATGGAACTACTAATCTCTTTATTCCGGCCTTATCAAGATAGAGAAGCCCGTCCACCATCACGAACTCGCTTTTTGTGGCCTTGTCTTTTGCCTGAAGTTTGTGAATGATGTCCATCGTGACAGGGTCTTCCTGATAGGCTCCCACCAACGATTGAGTTTTTCGTCAGATATGCCAAAGTCAGAAAGTAGCGCACCTAAGTAATCCGCTCTATGGGATAACGCATCTGCAACCTTGTTGTACTCCCCCTTCAGATACTCAAGCTTGAAGTCATATTTATCTATGACCTCAATCCATCGCTTGAGTGCATCAGAAAGAGCCGGTTGAGTCTTGATCCATTTGAGGGTCTGATGATCAGTCCTCAAGTAGAAGAATCTTCCCAATAGGAAGTGTCTCCAATGGACAAGTGCTTTGTATAGAGCATAGAGTTCCCTTTCATAGGTGGACTTTGCCAACTTCTTTGATGGCATCTTCTTGCTCATGTACTCAATCGGTCTCAACTTTTTCCCACCCTGTTGAGCCAGCACTGCGCCAATGTCGTATTGGCTTGCGTCAGTGGTCACTATGAATGGCTTTTGAGGATCGGGAACCATGAGAACCTCATGACTCATGAGTGCATGCTTCAATCTCTTGAAAGCACCCTCGCACTCATCACTCCAGTCCCACGGTGTGTCAACTCGAGTTAGATCAGTCAAAGGAGAGGCGACTGTAGAATAGTTTTGTACGAAGTTCCTATAGTAGCCGCACATTCCTAAGAATGATCTGACCTCAGTGACTGTCTGAGGTCGTTGTCAGTCTCGAATACTAGCCACCTTCGCATCCTCCGGCCTAATCCCTTCCGTGGATACTTCATAACCCAAGTACAGTATCTTAGTGCGAACGAATTCACACTTCTATAAGTTGACCTTATACTTGTGCTGTCGAAGGAATGAAAGTACCATCTCAACATGTTGTGCATGCTCCTCGGCAGACTTACTAAAGATCAGAATGTCGTCTAGGTAGACCACGACAAACTTATCTAAATGGTGATGGAAGATCCGATTCATAGCGTGTTGGAATGTACCCGGCACATTGCAAAGACCAAAGGGCATCACTACAAACTCATACAGACCATAATGTGTCTGAAAAATTGTCTTGTGTTGGTCCTCAGGTCTTATTGCGATCTGGTGATATCCGGATTTCAAGTCTATCTTACTATAGCACTTGCATCCCTGCACCCTATCCAATAGGTCGTCTATGCGAGGTAGAGGCTCTGCGTTCTTCACGGTGATGGCATTGAGGCCTCTATAGTCAATGCACATCCTCAAAGTACCCCCCTTCTTTGGTACGAATAGCACGGGTGATCCGTAAGGGGAAGTACTAAGTTGAATCCAACCCTTCTCTATCAGCTCCTTAAGCTGTTTCCGAAGTTCATCTAACTTGGCGGGGGCCATCCTATAGATCCTTCCCTTTGGGGTCTTACTCCCTGGAATGATTTCTATAGTGTGGACGACTTCCTTTCAACAACTCATGTGGGCTCCTCGAACAGATCAGGAAACTTAGCAACGACGCGTTCTATCTCTGGGGGTGTTTTAATGGCCTCCCCCTTCTCGGAGACATAAACAAGGTACATACCCTCCTCTTGGTTTCGCTTGTAGTAATTATAGAACGCTGATGCACACAAGCAGCCATAGGTGTCTACAATACTGCTGGCCTTGAACTTAGTTAACCTGACAGTTCATCCATTGGGCAACTTATGCTTGAGCACCTTCTTATCCCAGTCGAACTGGGGCTTAGCAACTTCGAGGTAGTACATGCCTAACAGCATTTCAAAGGGCAAGTCGTCGCTAACCAAGAACGAGATCTTATGGTTAAGCTCACCTCCTCTATAGGAGAAGGTACAGACTACGTCCTTGATGTAGTCTGTTACAATTATGCGCTCCTTGTTCGCTAAAGTAGATGCTACAGGTCTACTAAGGTGTCGTACCCGGTCCTGTAGGTGCAACCTTTCCAAACAGTCGCGACTTATGTAATTTCGCGTGGAGCCTATGTCTATGAAGGCTCCACATTTGCGGCCTCCTACATCGACTTCCACCACGAAATGTTCCCCTCTAGGACCTTTCCTAAGCGCCACCCAAGACTCGCGAGGGTCCTTGTTTGACCACTCACTTTCCAAGTCCTCTAAGGCTTCAGACACATCTAACGTACAAAGCATAGTTTGGTCTAGTTGTGTCTGCGGGGTGACTAAGGGGTCATTAGCCTTGGCCTTGTCATGAAGTGGGGAGGGTATCAATCCCACTTCATCTTGAGTAGAAACGGTTAATACTTTCATTGGCCCTACGCGTTTCCCGAGCTAGAAGCCTGGGTGTAGGTTTCCCCCATCTTTGGAGCTACCTTTTGCGTAACCTTAGCATTCTGGCACTTGAACTGTGAGTGTCCGTACTCCCCGCAGTTTATACAAGCACCACGCGTTCGGCGGTCACGCCACACGTCTTGATCAAGACTTGCCTTTACCCATTCAACTTGCTTGGTCTGATTGGAGGCGGCCTTCCCTTGACCCCTAGGCTGGCCTTTCCCTCGGCCTGCCGCCTTAGTCTTAACTACCGTGGCGAGGGTGCTACCCTCAGCTACCTCCTCGCCGTCATACTCTGAGTAGTCCATCAGGTCAGAGAGCTCATCGATCTCAGTTTGAGTCCCATCTGACTCGACCATCATCAACTTCGCCCCCTTCTTCTTCCACTCCTGAGGACTCTTCTTCTTCTTTGAGTCATTCCCTGAGGTGGTGGGTTGAGCATTGCCTAGCGTGGCCTCCAAATCTAAGGCTTTCCTAGACAAGGTCTCAAACGAATGATACTCTACGTGTGCCTCACTGGCTAGCAAGTTCCTCATGTTCTCAGGAAGACATCTAACAAACGTAGTTAAGAGGAACTGGTCACTGTAGTTGATGCCTGGAACGAGGATCAGGCTCTCGACGGTAGTCGTAAGCTCTCTAACCGACTTGAACTTGCGTTGGTCGAGTTTGTTAATGGCATCAGTGGCCCTTTGAGCCTCATGTGGGTTATGCCATCGAGCTTCTACCATCTCCATGAACTGCTCTAATGTCAAAGTCTTAGCCCACTCCGCCATGCGTCGCCCGTATCCGGCCTTCACAACTACACCATCTAACCACTTGGCTGCCTTACCCTCAAGGTAGGATGCAGCAGTAACCACTTCGTCCTCAGGCAAGGTCCTCTTTGCCTTCACCCAAACCGGGACGGTCCTCAACCATGTGTTGAGTTCCTCGTCCTTTCTCTCGCCTGAGAAGGCAAGAGGTGGTTTCATTGGGGTCTTGGGATACCATTGACCTTGCGGCTGTCCAGATTGCTGAACAGGTTGTTGTGGTGATGTAGCAATCACTGCTGGACCCGAAGAAGAAGATGCAACAGTCTGTGCAGCTGCTGCAGACGTACCACTAGGCTGTGTACCAGCTTGAACTGGAAAGGGGCCTGACATCGCCGATAACAGCAACGGCGATTGTGTTGGTGGCCTAAATCCTGGCCTTGTCAAAATGTCCAGGATCTGGTCCAAAGTGCTCTGCATGAAGTCCAACCTGCTGTCTACGTGCGCATGCAGTGACAGCATGTTGTTCCTCAACACTTTCATGGGCTCATTCATTCCAGAGTCGTCCATGCCCTCTAACTCAGCCTTGTCAGCCGCTAACGTTTCAAGCCTGGCTGTTCTATTCTTTATCTCTCTTTCTCTATCGGTAGCTTCTTTCAGTTCCTTCTCTAATTGTGCGCGGATCCTTTCGACCTGCAGGAGCTCCCATATCTCCCTTTCGCGAGGAGTCAACGGGCTGAACTGTGAGCCCGCCATTTGACTTGTAGACTGTCTAGAACCTGATGAACTGGAAGTGCCCGCGGACCCTGTTGGCATTCCCAACTGGGGTCCAGACGAGAATGCAGCAGAAGTTGCAGTGAAGGATGCTGCTAAAGAAGTCATGGTTACTGCCCTGGCTGCTGCTGCAGCCTGTTCCCTAGCTGCAACGTTTGCTGCTGCTCTCGATGTTGCGAGAACACAGGCTCTGTGTTCGGCACGAAGCCGTCTTTCTTCTCCCTCGTCTAGGGTCCTGAACACGTACGGGATCCTACTTGATCTTGCACGTGTTAGTCTACCATTGTCAACTCCCTCCTCGTCAACGTCTGATCCGTTCATGAATTAGGCAAACATTGTTTGCACTAGAATCCCCTAGTGGAATCCTACCGCAGCATGTGTCTGACCGGCACCTAATTTTCTAGGAATGGTTGTGTCCGGCAAGTCCCCTATTTTACCGATCAAGTGGCATGTCTACAATATTCACACAGATTGTCTACATAGTCAAAATGCACTTTGACTTGTTCACTTACAGCAGCACAAGATAGAACTGTCTATGGTAGTATACTTCAGTCCTACTCTAGTCTGTCTGTGAGGTGTTAGCAGTCTGTCCACCAACTAATCAAAAGTACAAAAAGACCATGTAGCAGATGTATGATTGATGGATATTGTTGTGTATTCAATTGAGCACCAATTGGAATCTACCCTTCCCCTCAATCCAACCATCCGGACAGCATCTTGAGCAAAGCAGTGTGTTCGTGTGTGTATCGGCCCACCCCTGTGCCCAAGTCAGAGCCAAGTAAGCCAGCCAACCCACTCTTATTTGCCCTCATACGGAAACGAGCCTTACGCCCAGATGATCTGGCTGATCAGGAGGATTATTAAGAGCGCCACCATCTCTGCAGGAATTCTTTAACGTCGCAGTTAGGACGACGATCACAGTCAGAATCATTTCGAGTACCCAACCAGAAATGTTTATAGACGGTATGGTAAGCGTCTCATACAAGGCTGGCACACTTGGCAAGACTTCTATTTGGCGCAGCAAAGTGCCTTAATGGACAGCAGCCATCGCATGCGTGACCTACTCCCATTGGGTTGGCATGGTGACCGTGACCCAGTGCTTCGACCAGGGCCCTTCAGAGGCACCGCCCTTTCTCCTTCCAGATGCTTCCGGGAAGATTGTCGTCTCTCAAGCTAGCGCGCTCACGACACCTCACCAAAAGAGAGGACTCTCAAGTTGGACTCACTTCCTCACGGTAAGAAGAGATTGAGAGAGTAGATAAGGTAAGGNGACTCACTTCCTCACGGTAAGAAGAGATTGAGAGAGTAGATAAGGTAAGGGATCAACATACCTGGAGATAGCTGCCCCCAACCACAGATTTTCTCACCAATTGAGCTGATGTTGCATTTGATGACCGGTCATGACCTCGGTACCACCCACAACGCAATGCAGTGCCACCTTAGTCCAATGCCACATCAGCATGCTCTCATCACCAATCATACATTTCGCATGTAACCCACGGCATACACTGTCGTATTAGCCTTCTGGTGCACCATTCTCTACCCAGGGCGTGCACCTATAGTGGCCTGACGTCACAAGTACCCACTACGAAGAAGCATCGTCAACGCACCAAGTCTGTATAACGCCAACGTGCCAAAGGTAAGTGGCGATCAAACCAGCTCCGATACCAAATTGCAAGGAACATGAATATGGACGAAGCACAGAAATCCAAAATGCAAAATCACACTGAAGTCCATGTAGTCAAAGCCAAAGCACATAGCACAATGGAACCGAGTCTACCATCCAATTGAGAATGATATAGAAGAATCGTGAGTCAATCAATGTCCATACCCAACAGGGCAACACCAACAGCATAACCCAAATGTAGCTCTCTCTTGTGAATGGTGTCAGGCGCCCTATCTACTCTACAGCCTTTTCTACAACTACAGCAATGAAAGCAACCGGACAACTTGACTACCAGCGAGTGCTGATGTCAACACCAATGCCGACCTCCACCTCCACCAGGTATGTGTCCTCTTCCCCACACTCTCCCTTGTTACCCACACAGTGCCCTTCACCTTCGAAGAACCACCTTCGCCCTTCACCCCTCTACGCCCTCTGCAGCCCGGCTATGGCCGCCAAGCGCCCTGTATGCAGGCAGCGCCCTACCGCCTAGCGCTATCCTGCGTCCCTCAGCCTTAGCGCAGCGCAGCATGCATGCAACGCAGCAGCGTGCCGGCCTTGCTCGCAATGGCCAAGATGCCTGTCCACTCGCCCTGCTTGCCTATATGCCAGTGCAGCATGTGGGCGGCCTCCCTTCAGCCTGTGACCGGGACCTAGAGGCTGAAGCCAACTCGATACAGTTGGGCCCGGGGGCAATGCAGTTGCGCCTCTTTCATCAAGGCCTGCGGCCAGATTCAGATAGTGGGCCAATTTCCCTTTGGCATTTTCGGCCTCTATACCCAGCATGCATTGTCGGCCTCACGTTTGAGTGCCCAAGGCCTAACTAACTCAGAGGCCCTGGGCTTTCAGCATTTGCTGAAATCCAAGACTCGGTGCACTCCAACCAACTGGCGTGCTGCAACTGTATGGACCCCACTTCGTGAAATGTTGGCACAGAGGGCTCTTGTTGATTTGCTGGCCCGCCTTCACTTAGGGCGGGCACGAGGTTTGCTGGGGCCTTAGCCCAGAACATGTACATCATGGCAAGGCCCCTTCGTGAGGGCTCATTCCTCACATTAATCAGATGATGAAACTAATGATGTGATGATGATGATGATGATGATGATGAATATGATGACTAGTATATAGAAAATCGAGAAGACTATGTTATGACCGCACTTCTGGCCTCCTAAGCCTCGAACCTTCCCAGCCCTCCCTGCACCAGGACATTTCATCTCACCTCCTAGCCAATATCAACCATAGCTGACCTGTTCACTCCACCTAGACTATCCCTGGCCCCATAGGTTGTCAAGGCAGCCCCCCCGGTTCGCCACTGGATTGCCTTCCTCCCTCGGCAAATCCCCAGATCTCTCTACAAGGCCTCACACTCCTGCCAATTGCAGGTTACAGGGCGACGCCCCAGCTCTGGCCAGCGTCGTTCTGGCATCGCCAAACCAGGGGCAAATACAAAGCAACTCTGTAGATATCCGTCCAGATTCGACCGTCTCCAAAATCCTATATCCCGATTAAGGAAGGAGGCCAGAAACAGCCGAGAATTACAGCACACCAGAAAGCATGATGTAACATGGATGTTGATGATGATGTTGATGATGATGATGATGATGATTTTGTTTGATGAGATGATACAGAAAAAATCCCCCCTCTCCCTTCCTTCCTCCATTCTCTCCATTCCCTTATCTACCCCTTTACCCTAATCTGCCCCTGCTGGGATTTGGTGCCCAGCCCCAGAAAAGAGTAATCCTCACCATCTGCCCTCACCCACTCCAGGGTTTCACCACCCGCCTAATGAAAATTGAGCCTGGCTCTGAACAAGTAGACACCGGATTCTATTTATAATAAAAAATAGATAAAGTCGAGGCATTGATCGAAGCTGGTGAAGTGTCAGATCATCATCAGCACATGTCTGCTAAACCCCTCCCTTCTCCTGTCTCGCCCCTGCAAGACAGGGCTCTCCCTCTCCCCCTCACCAAAATGTCATACACTCGGATTTTGTTGATGACGAAGAACAGCACCTTGAAGATAGTAATAATGAGTATGATGATGACGCCCCACTCACCTGCTGATGCGAAAGGCGAACGAATGATAACAAACTGTTAATGATGATAATAAACATCATCATAATAATGATAATGATGCTGTTGATGTCGATATTGATGATGATGATGATGATGATGATGATGATGATGCTAAAGATGATGATGATGATGATGATGATGATGATGAAGACACACCAATGATGATGCTCATACTGATGATGATGATGATGATGATGATGATGATGATGACACACCAATGATGATGCTCATACTGATGATGATGATGATGATGATGATGATGATGATGATGATGATGATGTCAGTAATGCTGCTGCTGCTGATGAAGATGATGATGATGATAAAGATGTTGATGATGATGAAGATGATGATGCCTCACCAATGAAGATGCTTGCCTTCCTCTGAACTTTACTAGAGGTAAAGAGATTGCGCTAGTACGTGGCGGCGTAGTCCATCACTATGTAGGGGTTTCTGGCTTCCACTGGCCATCGTCTAGAGGGTGTCTGAGGGAATCTATGACTGTTTGTATTGCTCTTACTTTGCCTTCTGCAAAAAATGTTCTTGTCATTGTTCCCTCTGTCTGGGATGTTTGATTTTGGCTTAGATTTTCCATGCCCCGGCCTGGTCATCCATATATTCTTTAAGTTTGTCACTTGCCTGTTGTAGTTGGACGAACATTGAGCAGTCTAGTAAGGCGCTGGTAATTTGGTCGGCCGATTATTCAAAGGTATGGAGGAGGCCTTCAACGACCACTTTTGTTTCTCTGGCACTCGTAGTGGATTTTTTGACTCTTTCTTATAGCTGTCCCACTCCCTAGTCGAACCATTCGACCAGCAATTGGACATCTGGTTTCTTGGTTACTCGGTACTCCCAGTATAATTGCTTAATTGATGGAACGAGGGCAGTTTTAGCAGGGACGCATTAAATATAAAGAAACTTCACCCCTGGGTAGCACAGCCAGGCCCAGTGGTATATGCCTGGGGAAGTCCTCCATTTTGAAGACAGAGTGCTAGAGCACCAGTTGGGTGACATGCTGCAGGAATGCAGGGTTATTCTGGGAGAGCTGCATTAGAGTAGCAGTGTAGAGGAGCAGGAGAAGGGGCTGGGGTTGTCCATAGCTACGAGGGTGAGAGGGACTTGCCAGGGCGCCATAGCTGACACATCACACGGGTCTGCGACCGGCCTTCATCACCAACCTGCATCAGCTCAAGTTATCACCTTTTGCTGGTCAGAATACGTGGGGATCATCATCATCATCACGGGACAGAGAGAGAGGAGAATTCTTCTTCTCATCCTCCTCCTCCTCCTCCTCCTTCCTGATTCTTCCTCTGACCCTCCATAGCCACTATCTCCTTTCCTTCCCTAGAGAGAGAGAGAGAGAGAGAGAGAGAGACTATTGGGCATTGTGAAGCCCAGGATTCGGAGTCGACACTTTGATGGAGACAATTATTGGACATTGTTTGGGAGGGACCATTGGCAGCTATCTCGAGCTATACTTTTGTCCTCCCACCTTTCTTTTTCCACCTTCGTCTCTTCCCACCTCCATCATCCAGGGTTTCTCATGTGTGTTAGAGCAAGGAGGAACATTTTGTCCATGTACACACGCCCTCCTTGCCTCTCTACATGTGATGA